AAAGATGTTGAATAACCATTAATAGAAATATGTCCACAGTTATAAATAAATTCTCCATTGGGTAATTGTTTATTTAATTCATCAGTTAATTCAGTGTATTCAATTACTTTAATTCTTTCTTGTTCTTTTACTAAAACACCAACTTTCTCTTCTTTAAATCCTTTTTTTACAATTTTAATACAAATTTCTGATTGAAGTAAATCCATATATCCTATCATATTTGGATCTACATCTTTACATAATATATTATCTACATTATGTGCAACCGAGTATTTAATTCCTTGCTTTTTCATAAATTCTAATATTCCATTATCTTTTAATGCTTTAAATAATCCTCCGTGTCCATTAGGTGCCATATATGGTTTGTCTTTCTCTTCATACAATATTTTACCATTAAAATCTACAACCGGAAGCATTCCTTGTGGGAAGCAATGAATTTGTTCAGAAGATAGTCCAAAGTATTGATGCTCTTTAAAATAATTATTAATTTCTTCTATTGTTTCTTCGTTAGTCATTAAAAACCAATGAATCATTACATTCTTTTGATGACTATATTCACTTGCTAATTCTTGAAGTCTTAATAATCGCTCTGACGTCATTTGAAATATTGATTTTGGTATTTCAAATGGTAACACAAACATTCCTTTTGGGTGCTCAAATCCAAGTCTACTTCCTTGTCCACCTGCAAGTGTTATTAATGCAGCTTTTCCTTGACTAATTAATTCTAAACCACGATAATAATGTTCTTTAGTAACAGGAATAGTGTTGGTAGTTATATCAACTGGTTGATAAGTCATTTGAATTTTTAGTTTTCCATAATGGTTATTGTTTTGTCTCTTCTTTTAGATTTTAACAAAACGAAACTTCGTTATATTTCTTCAGAACTAAAAAAATTATGATGGAAGTTAGTTATAGCTATATCTTTTCACTTAATATCAAATTATACCAACTACTAACAAAAACTAACTCACAAAAAATTAAACTATCCTTTTGTATGCTTATTAACTCAAGTAACTGAACTTAACAATAAATCATTAACTACTTAACTATGATAACTTTCTTTTTATTAAATTTAATAAAACTAGAAAATTTAATTGTTTAAAAATCAAGAAGAACTAAAAAATAAAAAACTAAAAATAATTTATAATGTTCTTTGTTATTTTAATAATAACTGCATTTGCAGTACCATTAACTAAAAAACAAGAAAAGGAAGTAAGCTCTATTATTGCAGAGATTGGAGATAAGTTATCGGTTGTTGGAGATTCAATTAAAAATCATAGTAATGAGATTGATCTTATTTTAAATAAAGTTAGAGAAGGATCAAATTTTGATGGTGCCGCTCAAAAATTAGAAATTTTAAAGAATGAAGTTTTTAATTTGATTAGAGAAAAAGGATATACAAAGGAAATTCCAGTTGGAGATAAGGCATTAAATCTTGAAAAACTTTATGATCAAATTGAAATGAAAAAAACAAAAGTTACAAAAAAAAATTGTAAAAAAGATTCACCTAAAGTTAAAGAAGCAAAAAAAGAAGTTAAAGCCGCAATGAAACGTGTAAATAAATCACCAGAAGAATTTAAATTAAAAGAAGATGGTCCACATGTACATACTGCAAAACCAATTGGATATGTAAGTAAAAAAAATAACAAAAAAGAAGTAAAGAAAGAACCTAAAAAAGAAGTCAAAACAACAACAAAAAAAGAAACAAAGAAAGGAGCTGTTAAAAAAGAAGATGTCAAAAAAGAAGTTAAAAAAGAAAATTTGAAGAAAGAAGTAAAGAAAGATTTAAAGAAAGAAGTCAAAAAGGATTTAAAAAAAGATGTTAAAAAAGAAATAAAGAAAGAAATTAAAAAAGAAATAAAGAAAGAAGAAAAGAAAATCCCTTCAAAAAAACAAATCAAAGAGAATCAATTAGAATCTACAATCGACTTAATGAGACAAATCCCTCAAGTACCAGTACCTCCAATGATGTATCAACCTATACTACCAATTTATATACCACCAATAAGGTTTATTCCAAATCCTTATTATTATTATAGAAGACCTTATTATTATTATAGAAGACCTTATTATAGATTAAGTCCTTATGTCCGTGGGTTATATTTAAATCCTGATATGTTTGGCACTTTCAAAAACAATGACCCATATTTGAAAAAAAATTTACCACCAATGCCTAGCTTTGGTTATTAAATTATCAAGTTAATTTGATAATTCATTCTCTTCTTTTTCCTTTTTTGTTATTCTAGAAATAAAAATAATTATGAAACATTTAGTATTTTTAATAGTTTGAGAAATGGTTTGATTTTGTTTAATCTGTGTTCTTTATCAATTAAAAACATAGAGTTAAGTTTTTTTACTTGGAAAACAGGTTTCAGTTTTATAAGTATAACCAGCTTTCTTTATTTTTATTAAGGGGTGTATTAATTAATTCTCATAAAGAATGATTGGACATTGAGTTACAATAGTTAAATCTCTTTCTCTGAGTTCAACAGAAAGTTTGTTATTTATAAATTGATGTATTTGAAGATTCTAATAGATTTTGTTGATAATTCAGCATGATGATTATAACATGGGATATGAAAGAAAATGAATTTTAATCATATCAATATAAAAGAAATACAAGATATAATAATTAATAGGTGTTAATGATTAAAGAATGTAGTGAACTGGAGATTCGAATTGAGTTTAATTTTTGGAATATCTAAAACTAATTTTTATTCTATTTAATGACACAAAGCTCAGTTTAAAACTAATTTAATAATCAACAAAGATTCTGCTAAAGATTTTAATATTTATTTGAAATATGCTGATTGTAAAATTTATTTAATCAAACTGAAGATATGATAGAATGATAAGTAATATTTAATTAAATTCAATCAAATATATCAATATTCTGTTATTATATTTATACTAATTTCAATGAGTTATTAATAAGTAATGTATCATTATAAAGAATTAAAAGTGTTTGAGTTTAGTCTAGTTAAAGAGAATAATGGTTTATATAGATTATTTATAAATAAATATTCAAATGATTTTCATAGAAATAAAGTTAATAATTTAATAGATTCATTAGAATAAACAAAATTAGATGAATTGTATTGATAATTTTAAAAGAGAGTTTAATAAGAAAATGGATAGATTAAATATATTAAATTCTCAAATTGATTAAAGTTAAATATTTTAATATCAAATGTATTGTGTTTTTTTGTATTAAAAGAAGTTTATTAATTAAAAGAAAAAAAAGAAAGTATTATTAATGTTATGGTATTAGTTCAAGAGTTTGATTTTGTTTTGCCCAACGTTGAAATAATCCTTCATTTAATTTTGTATATTCACTTATTTCTTTATTATGAATAATGACAGGTGATTCTTCTTCATTTCCAATAAGAATTAAAGTTTTTGTTCCATTTAATCCAATTTTCAATATAAGTAATCCTAATTCTAATTCTAACATTTGACTTGCTTCATCAACAATTACATAGTCAAAATGTTGTTTAAATTGATCAAAGTTCATTGTGACATAAGTTGAAGTAACACCAATAATTTGACAATAATTTAGTTCAATATATTTTTCTTTTTGGTTTTGTGCTCTTAAAATTTCAAGTGGAATAAGCATTTTAATTTTATTTTCATATTCATTTATTTGAATTTCACTTAATCCAGATTCTTTATGTTTCTTTAATATTTGAATAAATTGTAAACCCATTTCACAACTTTGAACATTTTGAACAGGAATATTACATAAAATAGCAATTTTTTGTAATTCTTCTAATATTTTAATTCTTTCTAATAATGCTCTTTCTACTCTTCCTTTCTTACTAAAATCAATTTTTGTCATTTCTTTTAATTCTTTCTTTCCATGTCCTAATCTTAATATTATATTATCTTCAACTCCTGTTTCAATTATTCCTTTAATAATAGTATTGATTGTTTGATTTGAATGACTAACAATTAATATTTTCTTTTTACTTTCTATTAACTTTTCTACAATTTTCTTTGTAATATAAGTTTTTCCTGTATTTTTCTTTCCTTTTATTAAATGAATTCCTTTATTTAAAACTGAACAAATAACTTCTTCTTGATTATTTTGTTTTAATTCAATTTTATTTTCATTATTTATCAATTCTTTATGATAAATTCCTAATAATTTATTTCTTATTTCTTCATTAATTCCTTCAAATTTTTTTTGTTGAATAATTTGATGAACATTTTCAAGAATTCTTTTAAATGTTCCAACATCTTTATTTCTCCAAATCATAATATGAAATGTAGTTTTATTTTCTTGATTATCTTTTTGATATTTCTTTCTTTCCATTTGAATTTCAATTCGTCTAAATGTTCCTTGAAAATCTTTTGTTTTATTGTCTCTGTCTTTGATTTCTAAAATTTCTCCTCCTCTAATTCTTTTAACTTCTCCATCATTATTTAACTCAACTAAAAAAATTATTTCTTTTTTAAATGGTGACCATTGATTTGTTTCATCACTTGAATCATTTAAATTAATTTCAAATGAACATTTAATTTCTTTATTATTACCAATAATAATTTCTTCATCGATTTCACTTCCATGAAATTCAATTAATGGAAGAGTATGTTTTCCATAATTCTTAATTCTAATCCCATTTTTAGTTGTACTAAATCTAATTTCATTTATTTCTACCATAATATCATCAATTGCACTATCAAATGTTTCTTTTCTAAACAAAATACTATTTCTTAATAAATAATCAAATTCATCTAAATAGCTTGGTGTTAAGATAGGTAAACTTTCTTGTGGATATTCTTCTTTTTGAATCCATTCTTCATCTGGATAGAGACTTTCATCATTTGAATTTAAAATATTAACTTTAATTTCATTTATGAAATATTCTTCAAATATTTTTATCATTAATTCTTTATTTATATCTTCTTGTTCATCAATCAATTTGAATATTATTAATATATTTCTTATAATATCTATATGTTTTTCTATTTCTTTTATTTTATTTCTAAATTCTTTAATTGGTAATTTTGAATATGATTTAAGTGAAGTATTAAATAATTTGATTTGTAGAAACCTTAATCTTTTATAATAAATTTCTTGAAGATCATTATGTTCAATAGTTATAAATGTTGGTGTAATTGGATATCTTTTAAAATGGTATGCATTTTCTAATAACAATGAATTAATATTATTTGGATGTGATTCAAGATAAATATAAATTCTTTCTAATAAATGTGTATTTCTTAATAACTCTTTTGTTTTATGATGAGTATCTCGTTGACATAATTCTATTGTAATGAGTGGTAGATTCTTTTGGATTTCATTCTGGACTTTTTCGATATCAGTTATTGTAATGATAAAATTCATTAAATTTTTAATTACTTGACTTGTCATCTTCAATAAGATTATGAATAGAAAATAAAGATTTCCAATCATCCATATTTTGTATGAATTTCTATTATCTTTATTCTTTTTTTTTTAAAAAAAAGAATCTAGAAATAATAAAGAAATGATATTCATATTGATTATATTTGTTATTCATACACTTGCATACCCACCCCCAGTATTAGTAAAAGAACCTATTCAAATTACCTCCAACTTAACAAAAGAATTTATTATCCAAAATCATATGAAATATAGCAATCATCCTAAATATCATCATATACCAATGATTGCTCATGTGACTCGATATCATGAAAGAAATCCAATTACATTACCAATATTTGCACATTTATTTGATGGAATTGCATTTGACTATATTATGATTAAAACAATTAATAATATCATTAGTGTAGTGGATCAAAATCCATACAAAGACATTACTATTCAATCAAAGAAAATTGCAATTCTCAAAACAGAAATGGACTCTATAATATTTTCAATGGAATTATATCATAAAATTCAAGAACAAATAATAGGATATGATGGTATTTTATTTGACTCATCTATCCCAATGGAATTTACAAAACAAATAATCAATTATCTTCCACAAAAATTTTTAAAATACAAAATTATTCCATTGGGAGAAGATGTTATTCCTTATCAAAATCTTTGTGATGCAGTATTTATTGACACTCAATATTTTGATCCATCATCTATAGCATATCAACCATTACAACCAATGCCTTGGATAGAAGAACAAATTTCAAATCATTTTAAAGGAAATAAAAAAAATGGTGGGTTTATTATTGATTTTGAAGGTAAAATGTATTGTAAACATAGCACAACTCATTTACAAAACTTGCCATATTTAAGATTTATTAAAAAATTAAATGTCACTATCACTTATCATCCTGCATCACATGAACATTCAATTGAAGCCCCATTTCTAAGTGATAGATATATGGATGATTATTGTTATTCTAATTATCCTACACCATATTCTATTCAACAAAAATTAACTTTAGCTGATAAATACAATATGTCTGTCTTATTTCATGATTTTGGAGGAGCATTAGATTATTTCTTTGATGTTCTTTAATTATTTCAAGTTATTTTGACTATAAAAATTAAAAATACTTTGTGTTTCATCTAAGAATTAAGAACAATTCATTATTCTTTAAAACAACATTCTTTTAATTTTTAATCAACACTATGATTATTATATCAATATATAAACAATAATAGTGAAGAACTAATAAAAATATTATCAAGAATAATATATTTCAACTTCATAGAAAGACAAAATAAAAGTATAGTTTTTAATTGAAGATAGTTATTGTAAAATACTCCATTAAAATAAACAAAGAATTTAAATAATTTTATAAAATGTAATGAGTAAAAAGTATACACACTCTCATTTTTATTATTTCATAATAAATACTATAAAATAATTGAATAAACTCTTCTGACTTTATTATAATAACCATTCATTTTAAGAGTTTTGTAGAAAAGAGTTTGTTTTTAATAAGTATTGGGTTATTATCTGATTACAGTATTTTTATTGAATTTCTTTAGAAGAGATAAATCCACAAATCTCTACACTAATTCATACAAAATAAGTTTGTTGACACATTTATTATCAAAGTATTGAATTAAATTCACTATAATCATTTACTTCAAAAAAAAAATACAAACAAAATATTGATATTAAGTTTTATTTCATGAGAATTTAAATCAATTTGTAATGCGAATGATAGAATATGTTAAAGATAAAATATAAAAATTATAATGAAGTATGAAAATTAACATACTATCATAACATAATAAATAAGTAGACTAAAATATTCTTAAGAGAGAGAAAAAAAAAAGGAAGAGAATAAGAAAGGATTAATGAATAAAAAATATAATGAACTGGAATTCAGTAGAGAAGCAGAAAATGAATAAAGAACAACAAGAAGAAATTGAAATTCTAGAAAAGAAGATCCAAATAGCAAAAGAAGAAAATGAGAATTTAAAAAGATTAATTGAATATGAAAAGAAGAAACAAAAAACATTTGAAGAACGTATTAAAGAGAATGAAATTAAGCACAGTACAAAAGCACCAAATTTAAGAGAAATCAATTGGGAATAAAGAGAGAATTAAACAAATAAAGAAAATAAGTTTTAAGGAGGTTTAAGAAGAAAATTTTAAGAAAAAGTTAATTTCAATTTTTCTAAAAAGTAAGAACAGAACAAAATTCTACAAAGTTCTTCAAGTAGAAAAAATAGCAGAAATTAATGAGGGAGCTTCTATTTAGCATCGGGTAACAGAATAGATAATTCTTCCTAAATAATCAGAAGCCTCTGGAATAATGAGAAAAATAAGGAATAAAATATAGTAAAACTTTAAGAAATTCAAATAATTAATAAAAGCAATGAATGTGATACGACAAAATGAACAAAATGATAATACACCTACTACATTTATTGTTAAATTATTTGAACTTGTCAATGATGAAAAATCTAAAGACTTAGTTTGTCTAATTTTTATTTATTAATAAAAGACAACAAACAATAATAAATAATTCAACAGATTTGTTGGAGTAGAGAACAAAATAGACCTGGATTTGTTGTCTTAGAATCAGTTCAACTAGCATCAACTGTTATTCCCAGGTTCTTTAAACATTCAAATTTTAGTAGTTTTGTAAGACAATTAAATATTTATGGATTTCATAAAGTAGATCATCCTCTTGGACAATGTTTTCATCATCCATTTTTTAAAGAAGGACATCCTGAATTATTAGCTAAAATTCGACGTCAACAACCTAAACGTGCAGAGGCAGAAAATGCAGAAATGTATCGTAGTTTATTACAAAGATTAGAAGATTTACAAAAAGAGAGTGTATCAACAACAAGTCAATTACAACAACTTAATAATATGTTATTTTCATTAAAATTAAGAATTGATGAAATGGAAGAACAAATGCAAGGAATGACTGAATGTCTTTATTTTATTAATCAAGATGAAAATAGATATGGACAACAACAAAAAAGAAATCCTCCTTCAACTGGTATAACATGGAATTAATAAACTTAAAAAAATCCTCCTTTTTGAATTGTAATTCATTTTTCATTATTTTTTTGTTTCTTATTTTCAATATTAAAAAAAAAAAAAAAAAAATTTGAAAAATTAATTAAATAATTTTATTAATCTATTGAAATATAACAGACTATTTTTATATTAATTTTTATTTCTTTTTAATTTTATTTAATATTACAAACTATTGTTTCCTCTAATAAAACATTCTGGATATTCATTGTCTTTATTTCCATTATTATATTCTATTCCATTTTCAAGAGCAATATTCATTAATCCATCAATTAATGTCATTTTTCCTTTGAACATTGTTCCATCATTTAATTTAATTGAACATTCATGAAATAATGCTTCTTTAAAAAATTGAATAGGAGGTGATGTAATAGAATTATTCATTTAATATTAAAATTCTTTTTAAGTTTTTTTTTTTAATTATTTTATTAATAAATAAAAAATTATATCATATATTCCAACTACTCATAATTATTGAAATGTTGTATATATGATTATTTTATGTCTGAGAACTCGGTTATTATTAATTCATATAAATTAATAACCGTAGAGTCTCATGTTATTTTTTATTTTCTTTTTTTTATTTTATTTTATTCTTTTTTTTCTTTTTTATCATTATGGTTTTTATTTTTATTTTTATTATATTTTTTATTTTTTATTAAAATTATATGAACTAAAAAGATACTTCAAAATGACTCTTGAACAAAATCTTATCCCACTAACTTGGGATGATGTTATTAATGATTGGAATATTGATGATAATCATATTTATTTCAATTTTGATGAACAATATGTTTGGTAATTATTATTTTATTGAATTAATATTTATAATATTAGAATTATTTAACATATTTTCCTTTGTATGTTAAATTTGCTACTACATCAGTTCAACATAGACATACACTTTTTCAAATTTTTGATTCTTTAAAATATCTTTGTAAGACAGATAAAGAATTTAATCTTTTATTTTGGAAATATTTAATGAAAACAAAACCATTACCTTCAAGAGAAGTAGTTCCAATTACTCTTCCACAACCTGATAGTGAAAAATGTTTTTTTAATTTAGAATTAAAATTTCAACAAAATAAAATTATGATTGAATTTCATTCAGAATTAGCTTTGTTTAGAGATAGAGAAATACCTAGTAATACAACAAATAGACATAATTCAATCCAATCATTATTTAATGATAAAATTAGTGCATTAGTATTACCATTAGCAAGATATGATCATAATTCTATTCAACAACAAATTGCTACTGTTGCAAAATATGATGTATTATTTGGAAGTTATAATCATCAATTATTAGAAATTAATAAAAAACATTCAATTATGGAATATGGTGATTTTTTTATTACTATGCATAGTAATTTATTTTATAATATGATTCTTCATTGTAAATTTCAACAACCTTTTATTTTAGAAAATCCATCAAAGAATCAAAGATTTTATTCTAATCTTATATTTTATTTACATCGTTGTAAAACTAATGATTTATATTTTTGTATGCATGAATTAGATACTTCTGAATTACCTAAACGTATTATTTCTGTATTTTCTGCTGTACGTCAAGCAATTTTATATGATGGTTATACCTCACTTAGAAAAATTGTATTTATTTGTCCTGATACAGACCTTAATCTTTTACAATTAAAAACAAATTTTGATGAATCATTTCTTAATTAAATAAATTCTCTTTTCTTTTTTTTTTTACATCTTACTTAATAATTTTGTTAATTGTTTCTTTTTCTTAATATCTTTCTCTTTTTTTTTTGGTTTATTTTCTTCTCTTTTCTTTGTAATTATTTGACTTTGAATTTTATTTGTTTTTCTTTGTTCTATAACTACATTTTCTAATATTATTTCTGTTGTTTTCTTTGAATCTTCTGTTTCTTCTCCAAGATATTTTGGTAATTTTTTTAATTCTTTAATTTCTTCATCTGAATATTTCAAAATAAGATTCTGAAACTCTCTATAAATTCTATTTAAATCACTTATTCTTGTTTGTAAAATAGTATCTAATCTAACAACAATTGTTTCAAATATTATTTTATTTACTATATCATGTCCCATATTCATTGACCATTCTATTATTTTAACTACTTTTTTAATTTTTTCTCTTTCATTATTTATCATTAATATTTCTCCTATAATCATATTAATAACTTTTATCATATCTTCTTTATTATATTTTATTTCAATCCATTCTATTAATTTATTATGAATTTTTATTACTTCATTTTGTATTCTATGAATATTTCTTAATATTCCAAAATATTTATTCATCCTTAATCCATTTTTCATTCTATATAATAACGTATGTAATATTCCATTTTCTGTATCTAATCCTTCTATTACTCTTTCATTCTTTGCCTTTTCTTTAATAAATTTAAATTCTGTTCCTGAGAAACAATATTTCCCTTCTTTTTCTTCTTTATTAACTTCTTTAATAAATTTCTTAAATTTCTCTCGTTCTTCAGAAAACATAAATACTTTCTCTTTTGTTAATTCCATTATTTACTTTTTATTAAGTTTTCTTTTTAACCTATTCCTCCACCCCTTTTTCTCTCTCAAAATTTTTCTTTAAACCCCAAATTATTTCTTTTCAATTTATTTATTATTAATACCCACAGTAATTCTCAATACATCCAAAGATACATCTTAAATAACATACTGTACATCTACTCGGTTCATATTTTTCTTCTTTTTCTTCTTTTTTCTCTTCTTTTCTTTCTTCCTGTTCTTTTAAAATCTCCTCACTCTCTCTTTCACTACTCATTGGAATCTTTTCTTCTTCATCTTTTAAATACCCAATAAATTCTTCAACACTTAACTCCTTTTCTTCTCCTTTCATTTCTATACTTTGAACTGGTCTTCCATTAATCTTTTTCCCTACTATTTTATCCATTGCTTGACAAATAATATCTTTAGAAACTTTTTCTTCTTGTTTCTTATTAACTAAATTAAAAACAAGTCTTCCAAATATCTGTTTGTATTTTTCATCTATTATCTCTTTATTTTTTGTTTCTTCTCCCATATTCTTATAATACTCTTCTATTAATTTACTACTTCTAATGAACTCCTCTCGTTCAATTTCTCCTTGATTCTCAATATCTGTAATTTCAATAAAAAAAATACTATCCACTTCTTTAATTCCTCCTGCTTCAAGACATTCAACACACTCTTGATACCCTAATTTATTTCTACCTTCTTCTTTGATTAAATCAAAGTGTTGAATAATTTTATCTATTCCTTTTATTTCTTCTTGATCTCCTGTACCAATACAACTTCTTGTTGTTTTTTCTTCTTCTTCATTTGCGAGTTCTTGAAATTTAATTAAATCAATCTTTTCTTCTTTCTCTGCCTTTTGTCCTATTCTTTTTATTATTTCTTTGAGACTTTTAGCTTTTTCTGCTGCTCCTTTACACCTCTCTACAACTATCTGTCCATCAATAGGTCCATCTCCCCCTCCACTAATTGCTTTAAACATAAAAACATTTCTAATTTCTGTACGTTGTTTATCCCCTGTTACTGAACTTACTTCTTTATTAAATCTCCTGATTAACTTGAGTGTCTCTACAAATGTTTGTTGATTAAATTTATCTGATGATGAAGACAATCCAACTAATCCAGGAACTTCATCACAATACCTATCCTCATCTTTTATAACTGAAATAACTCCATTAAAACTGATAAAATCATTTCCTTCACATACGTTTTTGAATATTTGTTTTGGGTCCATTTCTGAATATAACAAGAGCCAGTTTAACGAGATAATTATCCTGTCAAGGGTTTTCACTTTTACTTCTCTCTTTTTTGTTATTCCTTTTTTATTTGTGTTTTTAATATTTTTTTTTTTAAAAGAAAAATGGAAGTTTCATTTTAAATTTTAATTGGAACTATTAAATAAAATGTTATAGTAAAAACAAAGACAAAACCATAGAGTAATTAATTTTATATAAATTTCGATATTTTTAATTTTGTTGAATACCATCAAAAGGTCTTAAAAAATAAAATGTTGGTAGTGTAGTTTCATAAAGAATCAAAGAACAAAAGAAAAACATTATTTGGAGGGAGTATTTTAAATTTTCAAATCCAAAAAGAAAATATTATAAAATTAATTATAAAATTACTAACAAAAATAAGAAATTTTCATAATGAAATCTCACCTTAATTTTTGTTTCTTTCCAAAAAATAAAACTTGTATTTAGTAAAAATCAACAAATGTCACATAATAACATTGTTGTTCTTTTCATAATCACACTTTATTTTAGAATGGCCTCTGGTGATTGGTGTGAGTTTTCTACAGATAGAGCTTCCTTTAAATTCGGAACACCATGTAATTATCCAACACAGTCAGAATGGAGAGGTTGGAAACATGTAACTTATGTCGAGTCAAATAAAACTGATTGTTTCTTATTTGTTAATGATTGTTGTGGTGCTGATAGAGTTGATACAACCAAAAATTATTTATTTTTTGATGACACAGCTGATACACCAAATAAGTATTTTTATTTTAAACATGAACCTTCAACAGCAAATGGAAGGAAGGTACTAAACTTAGACTTTTGGAGAGAGTCAAAATATTCAAATACTAATTATATATTTGACCTTGATGGAATTCCTGAATATTCTACTTTGTATCAGGGAGGAAGAGTTGCATCAGACTCATCAACTACAACACTTATGCTACATAAAGTTATTGTTTATTTTACAGTCAATGATACTTTTCATGAAAATATTATTTTAGATTATAAAGAAAATATTCCTCCATTTCTTCTTATCGATGGAGATGCTTCTGTTACAATCAAAACAAATTACTATACCCCAAAGTGTACATATCACTACTCAACAAAAGGAATAAAAACCACTATAAAAACACCAATTTCTGGAAAGGTTTCTGCAACATACCAATCGTATAGTATTTGTGATATTGATGGATATTCTCGAATTACTCTTTGTCCTTTAAAGATAATACCAGATAATGATTGTACATGTACTTTTAAAAATTTTGAATATCAAAATGGATATTATGATTGTTATCACTTGAGTGAGC